GTTTCTCACTGGAAATGGAATTTCTAGCGTGAAACTCGCCCCTCTCACTACCCACTTACACTTAAGCCCAATCAATTTCGTAAGGAACATTTATTAAGAAACAACACAAGTTTTCAATGCTCGTTTCAACTGTTGACCTGCAAACTTTGAACTGTCTATACCTGCCAAGAATGAAATTAGGCCGCCTATCTGTGCACATCATTTGGCCGCGTATAAGCCTCCCATCCGTTAATTCCACTTCCATCCACCTGCCCATGTATTGAGCCACAGACTCCATACCTAACGAAGTCTTATGCTATTCATGCATGCAATTTTGATACCTCCTTCTCCCAGTATTCTCGATAATGACGAAATGTGGCACATTGAAAACAAACGATCAGAAAATTTTATGTGAAAGAGAATCAGTGCTCAAGGAGTGAATAATTACAGCCACAGTGGGCAGCTTCCAATTGAAAATGAGGTATAACCTAGTCATATAATGGAAGTGAACATATGTACTAATAAAATTATAACACAGAGATGCCGTGATGGCAGTTCGCAACACTGTGATATCCAAATTTGGCAGATAGATTAGAAAGACAAAACCAACAAATAGAAGTGCCTACAATCCGTAGCGACCACCTTTTTATACATTCTAGGTCAGGAATAGTCCAATATTCTATATAGAGCGGCGCAACCTGGCACTTTAAATACATAATACACGTTTGCCGAGAAAGTGAGCACCATGAAAAAAAGGTGAGTTCTTCACTAGTACTAAATGGTGCTACACACAAGATTGACAAGTTATACTTGCGAAGTGAGGTGGTTCAACAACAACGATAACGAAAGGGCTTAAGATGAAAGTTCAGTGAGGACTTTAATATCGCTATCATACAGCTGCGAGACGGCCAATACCTTAGCCGATGAGTACTTTTCGCGTACAGCGACCAGCTTTGGTAATGAGTGTAGCCTCAAAACCACTTTTGCAAACATCGTCACCAGCTCTTCAGTCTCCCGCAACGTAATACCCGTCAGTTTCCTAAATCAACTTTGGTCCATGCAGATCGCTTTGTAAAATTTCTAAAAAACTGCCGATATTACCTCATTGTTTCGCTGTCGTACGGCGTATCGCACAACTTTGAAGCAATGTATGTGGCTGCGCAAGCGATGCGGGACGGCAAAACCGAAGAAAGAGAGCAGTCCAGGAAAGCCATCTGAAAACGATAATGCTTACTGCCGGTAAACGATAAATAGCAAGTGATTCCTTTCGAAGCTTTTTGCCTCGCATGCTAGAGCTAGTGCCTCCTCATCTCGCTCGTAGCCCAATTACCTTATGAGATTCTTGATAGACGCCTCGATACAAAGTAAAGCCCTTCCTCCTATCAGTCTCTCATATCCTAACAGTTCCAGGATCCCACATCAATCGCGTATTTTAGTATGATACCCTCCAACCCTATCTGGGGGAAGTCATGAAAACTCACAATTGTCAAGACCTTTAAATGAGAGACGCATGCCTTCCACATTAAAAATCCACCTCACGATTACTTTGTTGTCGTGGATGCAAAACCACTGAGGTATGTGTCACTCTCGCTATTCAAAGACGCGAATCGCGATCAAATTGGTGAACCATTTTATACAAAAATCATACAAGAAGTGCGAAGAGGGAAGTAAGTGGAAAAAAAGCAAAAAGCGCCATAAAAAACATCGAATATTTCTTGAGGTCGACCGCGGGGGCGTAGAAACCCAGCGTGCGTGCGAGAAAGCACGTACGACGTGCGAGGGCGCAAACACCATGCTATTGATAATGGCAGCGGTCGCAGCGTACAAGCAAAGACATAAGTTCCCTTGTCACGCACTTCCACGCCGCGACAGTAACACCACCGCTT